TGGGCGTTTTTTTTGAAAAAACCGCTCAAACCGCTCAAATCTTGCTTAAAAAAACCGCTCATTTCTTGCAGTGATTTTTGAACGGTTTTCCAAGCAAGATTTGAGCGGTTTTTAAGCGGTTTTTGAGCGGTCTTATAAATTGCACCGTCGACTTCAACATTCTGCTCCTTCTTAAGAACTCAATCTGCAAAGGAAACTAGCTGACATGAGCCCTAATATATTCAGATAGCTTGAGCTTCTTGTTCATGTAAGTATCACTCTTGCTGGGTCTTTTTACTTTTTGTTCCCAAAGTTTTCTTTTCATATTCTTCAATTGAAACCATTGTGCTTGAATTTGATTGGCTTAAGATAGCCAATCGCATTCAAGTTGCAGTTCATATTACTCAGTTTTTTAGGGGACAAATGCATCAGTTGAACCGAACAAAAACAGGTTTTTAATGGAAAACAATATTTGTAGAAAAGTTATCAGAAAAACAAAAAAAAAATCATTTAAAAATTTGAAAACATTTTCAAATTTTTTTTGAATCCCAAAATGAGAAAAAAAAATAAATCGAGTCAAACTAAAAATCGGCATAATTAAACAGAAGTAAACAGTTTAACTTGAGCATACAAAAGCTCGACTGCTCTCTTGATTCGGTCAAAATCAGACTGAAATTCAAAGTAATCAAACAGATTTTTCTCGAAACGGAGTAAATTGAAAAAAAAAACACTTAAAGGTCACAAACGTTTTAATTGTTGTTGTGAAAATCATCCCCCACACGCCATATAAAATACAAAGTGTCAGATTTTGCTCCTATTAACAAATCAATTATGGCAAATAAGCTTCTTTCAATCAATTTGGAACAATTTCTAAGACGGATTCAATCTCCGCTTCCTAGTTAGCGCGAAATATATCGCGCGTTATTTGTCTGAAATCGGCCGAAATGGCAAAACTTAAATCCTCATTACTCTACAAAAAATGATCAAAATTGAAATATTTTTTTAAAATTTAAGCTCGGGACAACAGCATCTTTTGAATTATATAAATATATATATATATATATATATATATAGTATATATATATATATATATATATATAAAATCCGTCATAAAAGACTAAAAACCGAAAACTGAACTGCTTTTTCGTCCGATGCTTCCTGGAGACAAATGGCAATTATACTGCTATTAATAGGTACCATTTGCTGCTTGGCCTCTTTTTTCATTTGATGCATGATCATCTTAGCTTCAACTTTTCCCGGTCTAACATTGTGGCAATGTTCCTTTTTGGTGGATACCAGTTCATCTACAGCTGTTACAGCGAACATTCAACACTAATGGGAACTGTATCTCGCGCATCTCTAGTGTTTAGTTGTTGTTTTTTGTTGTTTGCTTTTTTGTGAACTCGTGTCCGTAAATAATCAGCGTTCTCTTGTTTCATTTAGATATGCCCCACGTAGTCTGACTCATGATAGTTAAAATGTAATTTTGAGCAGAAAAGATATAAGCAATGGCGCAAAACAAAACAAAATAGTGTTTTGCTCTGTTTCAATAGCGTTTATTGTGGATTATTGCCACAATTTTGCGTTTAATTGACAAAAATTATGGCTCAGATTATTTTTGAGGTTCAATTTGAACAATTTTGAGTCAGTTTCCCTTCTTGTCTCAAAACGATTTCAGTTTGCCATTAGAACTTGCTGGTCCTATACATTAATCTATTTGAACATCACTTGATTAACTAGATGTGTTAATTTTGGGACAAAACGGCATAGGACAAGATGTCATATGGGGCAAGTTGGCATAGGTCCAGTTTTCATGTTTGGCAATTTAGTAGAGGGCAAAAAGTCCTGACACTTAAGTTTAGAACCATCATCGTTTGATTAACAACTTCTTGGCAGCACATTAATTTCTTTTCCCGGTTCGAAGTTGAAGTTTTATGATCAGACGGTCGCGACCAATTTTTGGTATTTCCAGACTGCCGCGACCAAAAATGAACATTTGTAGACCACCACGCTCAAAATTCGCTAGTTCCAGACTTTGTGGACCAAAGCAATGTGTCCGCGACAAGCGCGAACGAAGGAATGCTAACCGCGACCGGCGCAACCGAAGGAAAGTTAGTCGCCGCTGTCAAAAAAATAGTCGCGGTGGTCGAAAAATTAATCGCAACTGTCGAAAAATTAGTCGCGGCGGTCGAAAATTTTTTCGTGGCGGTCAAAAAATTAGTCGCGCCATGGTCAAAAAATTAGTCGCGGTGGTCAAAAAATTGAGCAGGGCTATGTGTCCACCGATTTGGCTCAAATAAGCTATGTTTAGGCCGAAACGATCATGAATGGATTTTGTTTGCCGTCTTTACCAAAAATGGCTACGTTTCGCTGGACTCGACCAGACCAGAAATGGCTATAATTCGACTGGATCAAACAAAAATGAGTTTGTTTTGGTCAAATCGACCAAAAAGACTATGTTTCGACCAGTTCGACCAAAAATGGCCAAGTTTTGGATGAAACGACCAAAAATGACATGATTTTGTCGAATCGAGCGCTAATGGCTATAAGTTAACCTTTTGTTAACGAAAAAAACTGTACGCTTGACACCTAATTGTCAGCCGATATGTATACATGAATTTGAAAAGAATGTGTACATGTACAACTCGCAGTAATCTGCTTCATCTCTTCAATATTGTATCCCACGGTCTGATAATAAAAGGATGCAACTACAGAATAAAATTAACGAAAAGCAATGAAAAATGTTACTATCGAAATAAACTGAAGAAGAAACTTAATTTCGGCCCACCAAATTTCGGCTAAACGAAACCAAAAATGTGATTTTTTTTTTGGAAGTTTCTCGTTTTGTTTTGCATAAAAAACTTGTTATTGATTGGTTGAAAATAATATAACTATTCCAGTAGCCAAGTGAAGTTTATATCCTTTCAACTGGATTAGGTGGTAAGGGTACATTGTCAAAACATAACTCGAGGAAGATAAAAAAACCTCGAGCACGGTCGTATATTGAAGTGAGCAGACAACAGATGCTAAGCACAAAATAATCCAGTACATATGCATTTTTAAATTAATGCGTAATTATCTAGATAAAACACTTCCTAATCTCATCAGCGCTCAGGTTCGACTCAGTTTTTTTTTGCGTTCTGGCGCATAGCGAACAAAACTTTGATAGCAAAAAACGTTTTGGATAGTATATAATTTGACAGGGAGTACACATTATGATGTCAAAGGAAAATGGAAAAGTTATTTTCCACGATGAGCTTCTTTACTGTCGTTGGCATTGGAGTAGATACTATTTGAAGCAGAACATAACATCTGGCTGTTGTCGGACTGAATCACTTCGCGACCGGTGCCTGCGGTATCGAACACAACGATTGAAAAAATTGAGTCTTGGTTGCAATTACTGTACATTGGGTCAATTGACAAAAATTCTGTTTTTTTATACTAGAAAAACATAAAGATTAGATATTTCCCCCCCCCCCCATATTTTCTAATTTCTGGCTAGTTGCTCGAGAACAATGTTTATAAAGTTATCTGAAAAATTTTTATGCCTCTCACATCAAATTTACAAAAAAAATGTTTTCGGCATTATTTTTGCAAATTTATGAGCTCAACAAATCTATCAAGAATGGCTATGATACTAAACGCATATATTATAGCCTTTTCTGTTTAAATTTGAAGTGTTGGGAAAAATTTCAAGGAAAATAAAAAAATACACAACTTTTTATTAACTTTCTTTCAATTGACGCCAGGAAAAGAGTTGCTTTTTTAAAGCTAAGAGAACTTTGAATAGAAAAGCAAACGAATGCAAACGAACCGACGCGCATAAATTGAACCGAGGCTTTCTTCACCTCTTCAGGGATTCCATCCCCTGGTAACCAACGGGTTCATCCTTTGGTACTAATTTAAGACCTCCTTTATTGGCATCAATTTCATTGACCTACAGAAAGGTAGACGTATTTTTTGAAAAACGATACGACCTTCCGCCTCGCTCCAACCCAATGGAAAACTTGACCCTTGATGAGATGATATACACGATATACAAATAAAAGTAATAGTCAAAAAGTGGTTCTGGAGGAGAGGCGTTGGTTTTAGCTATTTGAGTTGGGAGAAAAAAAAAACAAAATAAAATTAGGACCTGCATTTTGAACCGGTAAAATACCCAAAAAAAATATTTATAAGAGCTGTAAATGTAATTCATACTTGTGCAGGCGCGGATCTGGGAATTTCTCGAGGGGGAGGGGGGTAGTTTTGAAAACTTTGTCGACCTTTTTTTTAGATCGACCAAATTGATTTTCTGAGCTCTGCCAAACCACTGTAAGGACCCTAATTTGGCGTTCGCTTTTCCTTAAATCCGCTATTTTACCTGTGCATTAGAAATACAAAAATAACCAAAATAATGCAAAAAATAATGCCCCATGCAAGGGCGTATCTAGGATTTTCTCGAGGGAGCGCCTTTTTTAGGTCGATCAAATCGATTTTTGAAGCTCTCTCAAATCCTTATTAACACCCTATTATGGCCCAATTTTCTGCACCGCAGGCAAATTTTACCAAAAAATGGGGAAAACGGGCCAAAAAAATTGTTTCGCGCCAAAAAAAAAATCGAACATATTAGTCATAATTAGCCGGCTAATTTTTCTGCCAAAATGACAAAAATCATATATTATGTACATTATTAATGTGTTAATGTGTTGCAACATTTTTTTGATTTTTATGTATTTTTTGATTTTTATGTAAGAAATTGGATGCCCAACTCTGCGCTAACTTGCTCACCTCAAAGCACTAATCGTGCAAATCATAATTAAAATGAAATATCGTGCTGATCAAAGCAAATTGAAAATGGTCAATTGATTCCACTTAGCTTAACCTCTTCGCGTACATTCAATATAATTAAACAAAAACTAAAAAAATTCGGAGAACTTAAAAGACTTCTATTTTTTTTGCAATTTTGTGTCTGTATGTTATCAAAATAGTCAAAATTCAGCCGGTGAACTTGATGAGCGTTAACTGTGTTCTACTTTTAGTGAAACTGGAGGACTATGAGGCTGCTTCGACCACATTTGAAGAGGCACTGGAGCTGGCTAAAAATCAGCAGAACAAAGAGGCCCTAGACAGCATTGAAAAGGTTCGAGGAGGCTCATCAGTTTGTTCATGACAACACTCACTCTACTTTTAGCTCGTCTGAACACACAATATACCTGCAACCCGTTACTTAAGAGGAATATAGATAAATTTTAGTTGTTCTTTTTTCGATTTTTAGGCTCTGCGAGACGTCAACCAAAAACTCTCCCAAAATGTCAGTCAACAGGTGGACGAAGATAATAACTACTCGGTAGCCAATCAGAATCAAGAACAGATTCGCGAACAGAGAACTCAGACTCCTCCCAAAGTGGAGAAACCGAAAGAAGAGCCGAAGGCGAAAGCAGAAGAGCCGAAAAAAGTGGAAGAGAAAAAAGAAGACGAAGTTGTTGGAGACGGAAGAGGAGACGGAGATGAGATCCCGGAGGAGCAGGAACTGGAGGGAACTGAAGCTTATGGGGAGGAAGATTTTGAACAAGATGACGAAACAGCAACTACTTCTAGAGATAAATGAATCTATAGCTTCTTAAAAATTTTGATGACGTATTAAATCGTATACTGAAAAAGAGTCATGATTACAAAGTTTATCGATTGCTGCAACACAAAGTAGTGCTGTGATCGTCAATTTTGGAATCGATGACTCAGTGTTATGTATTTTCATTGATTCTGTCCCATCGCATAGCTTCATTTTTTGACGCAACCGTGATACAGGTTATGCGGTTATGCAACATAACAGGCCGAAGGTGCGAAGCATGACAAAAATAGTAATAATTATTCCTATACACTTTTAATCAGCCATATCATATCAAACTAGTTGACTTAAATTTCGTAGATTGGCTTTCGTAAATTTTTGGCGCTTTAAAAATAAAACAAAAACGAGTTCATGGAAGTGATTTTGAAATATTGATTTTGGTGGCTTGTTAGGTTAAATACTGTACAGTTTTTTGTGAAACAAACTCATGGCGAATCAAAGAAATTACGCATTTTTCTACTCTGCAGTTGAAAAAGACGTCCTTCTGTGATAATATTTTAAGCCACAAAACAATTTAACGAAAAGTTTTTGGCATGATTGTACTATTGGCCACCCGGGTCGAGATCCCGCTCAAAAACCGCTCAAGATTTGAGCGGTTTGGGCGTTTTTTTTGAAAAAACCGCTCAAACCGCTCAAATCTTGCTTAAAAAAACCGCTCATTTCTTGCAGTGATTTTTGAACGGTTTTCCAAGCAAGATTTGAGCGGTTTTTAAGCGGTTTTTGAGCGGTCTTATAAATTGCACCGTCGACTTCAACATTATGCTCCTTCTTAAGAACTCAATCTGCAAAGGAAACTAGCTGACATGAGCCCTAATATATTCAGATAGCTTGAGCTTCTTGTTCATGTAAGTATCACTCTTGTTGGGTCTTTTTACTTTTTGTTCCCAAAGTTTTCTTTTCATATTCTTCAATTGAAACCATTGTGCTTGAATTTGATTGGCTTAAGATAGCCAATCGCATTCAAGTTGCAGTTCATATTACTCAGTTTTTTAGGGGACAAATGCATCAGTTGAACCGAACAAAAACAGGTTTCTTGGAAAAACAGCTGAAATGGAAAACAATATTTGTAGAAAAGTTATCAGAAAAACAAAAAAAAATCATTTAAAAATTTGAAAACATTTTCAAATTTTTTTTGAATCCCAAAATGAGAAAAAAAAATAAATCGAGTCAAACTAAAAATCGGCATAATTAAACAGAAGTAAACAGTTTAACTTGAGCATACAAAAGCTCGACCGCTCTCTTGATTCGGTCAAAATCAGACTGAAATTCAAAGTAATCAAACAGATTTTTCTCGAAACGGAGTAAATTGAAAAAAAAACACTTAAAGGTCACAAACGTTTTAATTGTTGTTGTGAAAATCATCCCCCACACGCCATATAAAATACAAAGTGTCAGATTTTGCTCCTATTAACAAATCAATTATGGCAAATAAGCTTCTTTCAATCAATTTGGAACAATTTCTAAGACGGATTCAATCTCCGCTTCCTAGTTAGCGCGAAATATATCGCGCGTTATTTGTCTGAAATCGGCCGAAATGGCAAAACTTAAATCCTCATTACTCTACAAAAAATGATCAAAATTGAAATATTTTTTTAAAATTTAAGCTCGGGACAACAGCATCTTTTGAATTATATAAATATATATATATATATATATATATATATATATATATATATATATATATATAAAAAATCCGTCATAAAAGACTAAAAACCGAAAACTGAACTGCTTTTTCGTCCGATGCTTCCTGGAGACAAATGGCAATTATACTGCTATTAATAGGTACCATTTGATACTTGGCCTCTTTTTTCATTTGATGCATGATCATCTTAGCTTCAACTTTTCCCGGTCTAACATTGTGGCAATGTTCCTTTTTGGTGGATACCAGTTCATCTACAGCTGTTACAGCGAACATTCAGCACTAATGGGAACTGTATCTCGCGCATCTCTAGTGTTTAGTTGTTGTTTTTTGTTGTTTGCTTTTTTGTGAACTCGTGTCCGTAAATAATCAGCGTTCTCTTGTTTCATTTAGATATGCCCCACGTAGTCTGACTCATGATAGTTAAAATGTAATTTTGAGCAGAAAAGATATAAGCAATGGCGCAAAACAAAACAAAATAGTGTTTTGCTCTGTTTCAATAGCGTTTATTGTGGATTATTGCCACAATTTTGCGTTTAATTGACAAAAATTATGGCTCAGATTATTTTTGAGGTTCAATTTGAACAATTTTGAGTCAGTTTCCCTTCTTGTCTCAAAACGATTTCAGTTTGCCATTAGAACTTGCTGGTCCTATACATTAATCTATTTGAACATCACTTGATTAACTAGATGTGTTAATTTTGGGACAAAACGGCATAGGACAAGATGTCATATGGGGCAAGTTGGCATAGGTCCAGTTTTCATGTTTGGCAATTTAGTAGAGGGCAAAAAGTCCTGACACTTAAGTTTAGAACCATCATCGTTTGATTAACAACTTCTTGGCAGCACATTAATTTCTTTTCCCGGTTCGAAGTTGAAGTTTTATGATCAGACGGTCGCGACCAATTTTTGGTATTTCCAGACTGCCGCGACCAAAAATGAACATTTGTAGACCACCACGCTCAAAATTCGCTAGTTCCAGACTTTGTGGACCAAAGCAATGTGTCCGCGACAAGCGCGAACGAAGGAATGCTAACCGCGACCGGCGCAACCGAAGGAAAGTTAGTCGCCGCTGTCAAAAAAATAGTCGCGGTGGTCGAAAAATTAATCGCGGCGGTCGAAAATTTTTTCGCGGCGGTCAAAAAATTAGTCGCGCCATGGTCAAAAAATTAGTCGCGGTGGTCAAAAAATTGAGCAGGGCTATGTGTCCACCGATTTGGCTCAAATAAGCTATGTTTAGGCCGAAACGATCATGAATGGATTTTGTTTGCCGTCTTTACCAAAAATGGCTACGTTTCGCTGGACTCGACCAGACCAGAAATGGCTATAATTCGACTGGATCAAACAAAAATGAGTTTGTTTTGGTCAAATCGACCAAAAAGACTATGTTTCGACCAGTTCGACCAAAAATGGCCAAGTTTTGGATGAAACGACCAAAAATGACATGATTTTGTCGAATCGAGCGCTAATGGCTATAAGTTAACCTTTTGTTAACGAAAAAAACTGTACGCTTGACACCTAATTGTCAGCCGATATGTATACATGAATTTGAAAAGAATGTGTACATGTACAACTCGCAGTAATCTGCTTCATCTCTTCAATATTGTATCCCACGGTCTGATAATAAAAGGATGCAACTACAGAATAAAATTAACGAAAAGCAATGAAAAATGTTACTATCGAAATAAACTGAAGAAGAAACTTAATTTCGGCCCACCAAATTTCGGCTAAACGAAACCAAAAATGTGATTTTTTTTTTGGAAGTTTCTCGTTTTGTTTTGCATAAAAAACTTGTTATTGATTGGTTGAAAATAATATAACTATTCCAGTAGCCAAGTGAAGTTTATATCCTTTCAACTGGATTAGGTGGTAAGGGTACATTGTCAAAACATAACTCGAGGAAGATAAAAAAACTTCGAGCACGGTCGTATATTGAAGTGAGCAGACAACAGATGCTAAGCACAAAATAATCCAGTACATATGCATTTTTAAATTAATGCGTAATTATCTAGATAAAACACTTCCTAATCTCATCAGCGCTCAGGTTCGACTCAGTTTTTTTTTGCGTTCTGGCGCATAGCGAACAAAACTTTGATAGCAAAAAACGTTTTGGATAGTATATAATTTGACAGGGAGTACACATTATGATGTCAAAGGAAAATGGAAAAGTTATTTTCCACGATGAGCTTCTTTACTGTCGTTGGCATTGGAGTAGATACTATTTGAAGCAGAACATAACATCTGGCTGTTGTCGGACTGAATCACTTCGCGACCGGTGCCTGCGGTATCGAACACAACGATTGAAAAAATTGAGTCTTGGTTGCAATTACTGTACATTGGGTCAATTGACAAAAATTCTGTTTTTTTTTATACTAGAAAAACATAAAGATTAGATATTTCCCCCCCCCCCCATATTTTCTAATTTCTGGCTAGTTGCTCGAGAACAATGTTTATAAAGTTATCTGAAAAATTTTTATGCCTCTCACATCAAATTTACAAAAAAAATGTTTTCGGCATTATTTTTGCAAATTTATGAGCTCAACAAATCTATCTAGAATGGCTATGATACTAAACGCATATATTATAGCCTTTTCTATTTAAATTTGAAGTGTTGGGAAAAATTTCAAGGAAAATAAAAAAATACACAACTTTTTATTAACTTTCTTTCAATTGACGCCAGGAAAAGAGCTGCTTTTTTAAAGCTAAGAGAACTTTGAATAGAAAAGCAGTCATAATTTAAACCTCTCTAACTAATGCAAACGAACCGACGCTCATAAATTGAACCGAGGCCTTCTTCACCTCTTCAGGGATTCCATCCCCTGGTAACCAACGGGTTCATCCTTTGGTACTAATTTAAAACCTCCTTTTTTGGCATCAATTAAATTGACCTACAGAAAGGTAGACGTATTTTTTGAAAAACGATACGACTTTCCGCCTCGCTCCAACCCAATGGAAAACTTGACCCTTGATGAGATAATATACACTCGCCTCTTTTCAAACACTAGAACCAAACTTAACCCCTTAACGTATAGAGTGCACCGTGGAGGGGGCAGAAAAAAATCAAAGTAATAGTTAAAAAGTAGTTCTGGAGGAGAGGCGTTGGTTTTAGCTGCTTGAGTTGGGAGAAAAAAACAAACAAAATAAAATTAGGACCTGCATTTTGAACCGGTAAAATACCCAAAAAAATATTTATAAGAGCTGTAAATGTAATTCATACTTGTGCAGGCGCGGATCTGGAAATTTCTCGAGGGGGGGGGGGTAGTTTTGAAAACTTTGTCGACCTTTTTTTTGGATCGACCAAATTGATTTTCTGAGCTCTGCCAAACCACTGTAAGGACCCTAATTTGGCGTTCGCTTTTCCTTAAATCCGCTACTGTACCTGTGCATTAGAAATACAATAATAACCAAAATAATGCAAAAAATAATGCCCAATGCAAGGGCGTATCTAGGATTTTCTCGAGGGAGCGCCTTTTTTTAGGTCGATCAAATCGATTTTTGAAGCTCTCTCAAATCCTTATTAACACCCTATTATGGCCCAATTTTCTGCACCGCAGGCAAATTTTACCAAAAAATGGGGAAAACGGGCCACAAAAATCGTTTCGCGTTTTTTTGAAAGTTTTGACCAAAAAATTGCGTTTTTTCGGCGCGCGCTCACCTCCAAATTAGTATATATTGGCGTCAAAGGCGCCCTAAGAAAAATTTTAGGTTCTGGCAGCCAAAAATGGATGTCTTAAAATGGTACTAAAGGGGGACCCTTTCGGTCGGCAGGGGTTCGAGTCCCTGAAGAAGGGCGTCCGCCCCCCTATAAGTCCGCCCCCTGCAAGTCCGCTCCTGGCCCATAGATGATTTCTTTTTATGGATTGGAAAATCGTTTTTCAGAACTTCGCCAGACAAATTCAAACCAGACAATTTCATTTTTTAATGCATGGTGAACAAACTGACAACTGTGAACAAATTTGTTCTTTATACTTTAAATCGTTACATCACGCCTTTAGCCATAACGACACGAACGAAACACAAACATAAAAATCGATATTTTGAAAGGTGGAGGGGGAGGGTGGAAAAGTCATTTTTAAGAAAGCCAAAGAGGATTATTTGGATCTTTGGATCTTGTTAACTATTGCCCCCCCCCCCCCCCCCCCCCCTATTGCATAAGGGTGTGGAAATGGTTAACAAGGTACAAAATTCGTATCCGCTTAACTGTTGAATTCTTTCTTTATAGGGGGGAATTCGTAATTCGTTACAAGGTACCACAGGGGGGGGGGGGGGTTACTCTCAAGCAGTCTCTTCACGTCAGTGATCAAATGTGTCTCTGTGAACTTTCTCGATTAATTTTGGAGTCAGACTAAGATTTTGTTACGGTGGTAAACTCAATTTGATTAGCAAAAGAAGTCTTGTTAACAGGTAGGTTGGCTGATTGATTTTCGTCTGGAGCAGTTTTCCGAAAATCTGAAACACGATATTTTTACAATTAAAATGGATATCGTTCAGAATTCTTTGGTTGTTAGATATGCTAACAAAAGAGACAGAAAGAAAATTTTCAAATATTAATGAAAAGTTTACAAAATTACAGAATCGGCTTCAACGTTTTCATTCATTGTAAAGTAATTCTTGTTTTGATCTCATTAGAAGTATGTGAATTTGAAAGACGTACTTTCAAACTTACTCCTACTACGTTTTCAACGTTATTTTAGTTTTTATAACCCCCCATTCTGCCGTTTTTCTTCAAATACAAGGTCTTTGTTTTTCTAAAAACGTCAGCAGAAATTGTAGACATTACTGATGTAGGGACGTACGTCGCCGACTTTGACACCCCGGTCGAGGCCCGCGACATGCGAAAAGACCGGCGTGATTCAAATCGGCGTGATTCAGACCGGCATTTTTTGCCGACTTGACCAAAAAATTTGTTGTTTTGTTCAAATTGATGATAAATGGCTATATATTGCTCATTTTGATCTAGGTTACATTTCAGCCTACTCGAACAAAAATGTCTATGTTTTGACAGAATGGAACAGAAATGTCTGTCTCAATTGTCTCAAACAAAAATATTATGCTACAAATGAATCGAACACAAATGTCTTGTTGCAGCAGACTCGAGCGAAAAAGTCTCCGTTTCGACCAACTGGACTAAAAATTGCCATTTTTAACGACTCATTCAAAAATGGCTATATTTTGACCGAATCGAACAAAATTGGCTTTGCTTAGAACGACTCGACAAAAAAGTATTGGTTTCAAACTACTCGAACAAACAGTTTATATTTTAACTGACTCGAACAAAAATTTCTATGTTTCGACCGACTAGAACAAAAATGTTTGTGCTCCGAACGACTCGAACATATACGTCTAAGATTCCACAGAATTGAACAAAAAACGTTTGTTTCAACCTACTCAACTGGAAATGGCATTGTTTACCGACTCATTCATAAAAAAGTTTGGGCAATCGTTAGCACCTTTATGGGTATAATCTCGTCGTCTTTTACCGAACAAGTCACGATACATTTTGAATTTTTCAGAAGAATTATCACACCAAGCCAAATTTTTATAGTGAAACTTACGTTGTTCTTCTTTTGTTCTCTTGGCTACGAGATTTTAAATTCAAATAATCTTTTATTTGTCAACTTTACCGTTACTTTTTCGAAAATTAATTGCTTGTCTATCCCCTCTTGATTCAAAGTTTTTAATTCTCTGGTTAAAATTTTTCTGTGTGTTTGCTTGCGTTATTTTAAAGGGCGAAAATTTTCACAACATTCAGTAACAGAGTTGTGATATCTCTGTCAAAAAATTTGATGGATCTGAAACTGAAATTTTTGCTAGCTTTTTTTGTAGGAGGAAAAGTAATTTGCAGGCCATATCGCTTCATTAAATTTTGTCATATACAGAAAGAAAAAAGTTTGAGCTTCTACAATTACTGTTAGAACAAATTTTTACACTTATATTGCATAACGATCGCTCAGGGGACATTCTAGCGTCTCCACATTTGCATTTTTAGAAGGCAAAAACGATCAATACGTGTCATAGTTATTATTGAAACACGAGTAAATTTTTGGTTCTGTACGGTAAGATCATAACTGTCATGTAAAATTGTGAAGTCAAACAATTTTTTAATATTTCGTGGAATCAGAATATCAATGTTAAGACCTCCGCAAATTGTAGTTCTAGTTAAAGTTTTTTATTTAATGTCATTCTAGTTAAAGTTTTTTATTTAATGTCATTCTAGTTAAAGTTTTTTATTTAATGTCATTCTAGTTAAAGTTTTTTATTTAATGTCATTCTAGTTAAAGTTTTTTATTTAATGTCACTAGTCAGACAAGTTGTTTGTTATCGTAGAGTTAGAGAATAGTGAATCAATCTAAAGAGTCCAAATCAAAATCAATATACTTAGAGTACACGTAGACTGTTGGAAACTATTTGACTCTTGCTAATTTAAGACTTGGTTCTACTCTGAGCCAATAATGAGATAGGGCGCAATTGATTTTATTTTCGAAAAAACGTGGCACAATGCAAATTCGAATTGTAATTTTTTTCTCTGAGAAACGAAGATCAATCTTTGATAATTCTGATCAATTAGTTAGTCATGGTTCGTGTTTGAAGATTGGATTGCGAATTGACATTAATGAGTTGCTAGAAATATCTTATCGGAGGATTGACATCAATTAATTCATGATCGATAAACAAGCCTGGATGGACCGCTTGGTTGTATTCTTTTATAAAAAATTTTTGTTTCTGAAATCAATTCTGTATGCTTTATTCTAGATTGGATTGAATCACTAAACGATTAAATCTCGTTCCCAGCTTGGAGTTTTTTTAAAAGTTTTTCACGATATATACAGAGCAACAAAATGTGGAAAAAGAAGTACCCAAAAACACTATATTTTCGAAGGTTTATATGGATCAGTATAGCATGCTAGTCAACGCTAGTCCGAATCTGTCGAAAATGTATTCAAAGAACACAATGATTAGTGGTCAGATAGCAACCGCGAAGTTGTTTTGCCAATTTTTTTTCTCGAAAACACAAGAAACTGAAGTTTTTCCAAGGCAGCAACAACTACACAAGAAGGTAATGCCGAGAAGAATGTTGCTTAGAAGAATTTTTCTTGAATGATGTTATTCAGTTGTACATCTACTGTTCTATAAAAATCGCCAAATGTTTTGCGCTGGAATTTTTAAAATTTATTTTTTGTTTAAAAATTTCTTGTCGGATATTTTGAGACTAATAAATTAAACTGTCTTGTAAATTTTTTCTAATTTATTTCAGTGTCAAAATCTTCTTTGAGGATCACTTGTCGCGGTCGCGTCAGATTAGACGGGATTAGATTGCTGTCTCATGGAATATATTAAGATATAGTACACCGTCAGCTTGCCATGCTATCTGTTTTCGGTCTCAATAAATCCAATTAAATAGTGACAAAAACGCATGAGTTTGAAATCAACCATATTTTTTTTCAATATAAAAGCGACTTAACTGCGAACAGTCAGACTTTACAGTAAATAGTATTAAGATTAGTTATGGAATTTGATTAGCTAGTTATACATACTTTCCAATCTTATTCTGAGATATAACAAATGAAAATCTTACAGGTCGCGAAGGTCGAACATCTACAAAACAGTTTCAGCAGAACAGACTTGCTTTGCTTTCCTGACTAACCTTGAAATATACTACAGACATTTTAAGATAAATCTCGAAAAAAGTTCTTAGACGTCAATTTTGATCAAAAACTGACGTTGCTAAAGCCCAAAAACTGTCAGAAACTAATTGCAATTAAATGATAATTGGCAAAAGTAGAGAAACAATTTGAGTTAATTATCACAATTTTCAGACATTTCACTTTTTCTCCCCATTCTACCTTTGGCAACTTCTAATGCCAACTTCTATGTGGTGTTTGAATAACTTGATTTTTATGGTTTGATGCTATTTTACTGACCAGATATCGCTTCTTTTAATATTTGCTATTGATTGTGTGTTGGTATCAAGTTCGTTGCATAATTTGGCTAGTCCCTGATATCAAGTGAGTTCAGTTCCGTAAAAAAAAATTTAAAAGAGAAATGTGAATTTTGAAAAAAAACCTTGTTTTTATTAGCAAACTACCAGCAGAAGCTTCTACAGAAAAACTTTATGAAAACAAAAAATACGCATAAGAACTTTGTACTCACAGTAAGCAATCTTTTTTCTGATGATAGGAATAGTTTCCTTGAATGGATTCACTATGAGAAGTGCGAGGATGAGAGTGATGCAGTTGAAGCATGGGATAAGAAGCAGAAGTATATTTGAAGTGAAAGTAGCTGAGTCACTTTTGAGATAGAAGTCGTTAACTGTGTCTTGATGATACATGTACTCTCCTCTGACATCGTCATGGTTTTTAGCTAAAAACATCGAAATAACTTGAGAAGTGTAAACATCATTTTTATTTAATCAATAAAACAATTGTTTTTGTTCATTTACACAATAAAATATTTATGTATTTTTACAGAAATTCAAAAAAGGCAGCTGCTGCTCTGCAGTTAGCCCCGTATGTCCAAACACACTCTTAAGACAAGGAACTTCAACATCAAAAAATCGTTTGAAAAACTTAAGTTTCATAATTTTTCCCAATTTTGTCAAAATTTCCAGTTATTTATCGTCTAAAAATGCGATTGAAAAAATAGAAAGAAACCATCAATTTTAGAGTAAGTAAGGTTGTGTTTGAAGGCTTCTCAAATTTTCTATTTTAATTTGAAAACCACAAGGGTTCAGACAAACATTATTCACACTGACACTTTTCAGCACCCTCTGCAATCTTTATAACTTATGAGTTTTCATTAATGTAGTAAGAATCAGGGCACAAAAAACGAGCATTACGCCATTGTTACTTCCACTCACGTAAATAATGAAATTTTGGAAAAATGTAATCAGTTTGACGAAAAAATTCTCTGTTAGTTGTGAGTAAACTGCTGGATCTGTGTCGTAAGGTGAGTCTTGCATATAGCGTATGACTGTGTGATCGTATTGTGTAATTGGAAAATTGGTCAGAGTTTTCGTGCAATAAAACGGTTTACTACATGCGAGAGTCCAACGTTAGTTAAGTTTTTAAGCTGTATTGCGTTAGTTAGTTGATGTAGTATAGTTCATGGTCTTCAGCTTTTCGAATAGATACTTTTAAAAATGTTAGTGAAAATGTAAAAAGATATCCAGGAGATGGTAGGGAGAAGGGAGTGTTCATCAACGTGGGAGTCACTCCTGGCTTGGGGTTTAGTTTCATAACAATATTGGGTGAAAATGGGACGTTTTCCAGCACGATTTCGAAAGTGTTAGTGTGCCTAGGGTGATATGTACGGAGTAGTTGTGATGTATGAAGGTCGATTAGATAAGTACCGAGATGGGTTAGTAGGGTACTTTTTGTTTCATGGGGATGCGTTGTGAACGTGTGTGAACATTATGGATTGATGATGTTGATGTTTCTGATGGTGGGGCTGAGTGTTTTAGTTGATGGATTGTAAGTTGTTCGGTCATTACTATGAGTTTGTTGCTGGTGACGTATGAAATCGTAAGGAAAGATAAAGGAATTATCTGAAACTACTTTGTATTCAAGCTAAAATTATAGAACGAGTTAATTACACAGAAAATGGAGATGAATCCATTGATTGTGTATTTTTAAAAAGCAACAATCTAATCCAAAAGAAGAACGAACATTGATTGATAAACGGGCTCTAGTCGTGTAGAGGTCAAAGTTTAGATGTTTAAGATAAACTATTTTTAGACGAACAAACTAATTAGATACTTGTCAAAGTTCGTGACAAACCAATTGGTGCTAAACTCACTTCCAAACAGCTAACTCTCGAACGCTTTTCGTTTCTACCTGAACCCCAGCTTGATGCTAATACTGCTGTTCATCTAAGTTCATGTGTAACACACTTCTATTCTACATTGAACTCCTTATTATTATTTACAACATTATAAAATTATTTTAAAATTTTTGTAATTAACAAGTCTACGATTTTTCATGGCGCAATCAGCACCTTTTTTTAAGACTAACAAACAGACACGCTAGGAATCCCGCCTTACTGGTCAAAACAAACAGAAAAACCTCCACACTTGTTAAGCAATTGGATCGGACAGTTCTTTTCAACAATGTGATCGAACGAAAACTGGTACCCAATGAGATTGCTAATATCCCTAGGAGAAATTCATCTCCTCCTAAACCAGAACAGCTATCAAATACTGAAACGGAAAGAAAAAAAAGGTTAGTTAGGGCCACAGCAAACATCAGACAAAAAAAACAGTTTAAAACAACAATCGAAGACAAAAGGATCATAAAAACAATGCGACCCGTACATTACCAGGACAGCGAAAACCAGAATTTTTCCCCCTTTGAGTGAAGAAGAGAGAAAAAACTATTTATGCAGAAAAACCTTCAAAATGATATAAACACAACCACTCTTAGAGAATTTTACACTAAAATTGAAAAAAAAAATTAAAAGAACAAAGAGTTGCAACTCTCGAAAATAAAAATATAAAAAATTCTTGTCTAAAAAATAAAACAATTTACAATCATGACTTGCTCAGTTATCAACACAGAAGCTGCTCTGTGCGAAAAGAGAAGAACATCGTGTGATAAAAAGTTTTTTTTAAGGAAGAAAGCGAAATTCGGAAGGAACTGATTAGCCGCAAAGGAACTCCTTCCTACCCGGTTTGAATCAAACATGAGCCAACTTTCTCAATAAAACTGAAAAATTTCGACACAAATACTAGGATTAAAATATTAAACTAAATCAACCAAA